AAGTAATCACATAGGTGCCTCTTGCTGTATGAGCACATCCCCGCAGATTCAGTTAAGCAGATCCTTGAAAATTAGAGATAAAACCTAGCAACAGAGACTCGGGAAATAGCCCTGTTGAGCTCTCTAGAGGCTCCCAGTATTGTTTCTCTGACTCCCCTGCAAGCCTGTTCCCCTCCCTCAAATGTCCTTCATCACCGTGGAGTTCCTGGGGATGCCAGTGCACCCTGTCTGTTTGGGAATGCTAAGAGAACCTTCCTCCACAGCTGTGAAGAGCTAAGGATCCTTCTGTTCAGTGAGGTCATGTCAAGGAACTCAAAGGGAAAAAAAAATCTCCTCTATTTGCTTACACATGGCAGCCTGATTTGGAGTGATGTGCTAAGTAAGCATCTCAACCAATAGAGGGTTCCAGGAGTTCGTCACTCTTCACGCACTCCATTATATAGGGGAGAGCAGAGGCCTTGCCTTCCTTGAACAGCACCTCACAGCTGCTTGTCCTAGACAGAGCTGAACATGCTATTGTTTTACCTTGGTTCCAACATGTTCTAGCTATTTCTTATTTTCAGCTATTTCCAGGGCCCTTGCCATTCCTCCTATGAAAGACTGACTCTGAGCAACAGTTAAGCTGAGGCTAAAGGTCACAACCAGAAAATCAGATGGTACAAATTTTATGAGTTGAGAAAATTAATTAACAAAATCAATCCTTCCCTCTCACAGGCTGATACATAGCAATAATGAGGGCCGCTCAAGGAAAGGCTAGCCAGTGGCCCACATGCTGTGTCAGGAGTTCAGTCTGAAAAGAGGAACAGAGACACAGCGATCCATCAAGTCATACTAACCTTAGGTAGCCAGGTTTGGCTTTTCCAGGATGCTTTTTCAGGATGGAAGGCACAGTTACCCACAACAGAGGTTGCTATTAATGTCAAATATAGCCTGGTGCTAATGTTGTGCCTTTAGATTGGTTAAAGGGGGTAGCGATGCTTACTGAGTCCCCCTATAAGGTACTTTGGGGCCGATTGTTCTGCTATTCCTGTCCTCGGCCCTAGAAGACAGGTGCATTATTCCCTTTCTATTCATGAGGAACCAGAGATTCAGAGAGGTGAAGCAACCTACTCAAGAGCACTGAATCTGCTGTTCTTAGAAACAGAGTTAGACTTGAATCCAGTCTGATGAGATGAGCAGCCTGTTGTCCTTCAAAACTTCTTGCAACTCAACTGAGGACCCATATCTTAAAAATGAGCTAGTAGCAAGCAGCAATTTCAGTGACAGCAGCTGACATCTGTTAACTGCTCGTCTTGGGTCAGGCATTATTTTCTGTGTCAGGTTTGTATTATCTCATTTAACATTTATACAACCTTTGTGGGCATGGCTAGTACCTTTATTACTGTTTAATGATGAAACATCTGGGCCACAGAGTGGTTAAGTATCATACCCAGGGCTATACAGACTATAAGCATTGCTTCTGGGCTTTGGCCCCAGTCACTATAGTTCCAGAGTCTCTACTGAATCCAACCAGTTTCCTAGGGGTTTGCAGTCACACTCAGTAACTTCTGAGAATACAAGGTGGCTTCCCACCACATCCTGCAACGTCCACCCTACATCCTGTCTGAACTCACCATGTCTCCTTCCTCTTCCTGCTAAGACTGATCATGCCTGTGTTGGGGCAGCCAATCCTGTGGCAGGCAGAGGGGCACAAGGATTCAGCTGACATGGTCCCTGTCCAGTTTATATCAGAACAAAAGAATCCCAGTGTCCCATCTGACATGGGCCTTCTGCACCCAGAATCCTGTATTCAGGGTAGATATGTAAAGCTTCTGCAGATTACAAGAGCATTCAGGCAAAATTCTTGATTCTTTATCCTGCTGGGTTTTTCACAGAACAAAGCCTACCATAGATGCCCAGGACACATGTGCAAAGAGATGCCCTTTACTGCACCCAGTTCCTGTTCCAGTATCACTTCCTCTCTGAAGGCAGAGTGGCCTAATGGAAAGAGGAGTTCTTGCAGTCACAGACCTGGGTCCCAGTCCTGTTGTACCTTGCTGTCTCCACCAAGGACATCCTTCTCAGAAAGGAAACAAGAGCTCCCTTACAGTGCCCTTATTGGCTTTAATCAGATCACTCTGTAGAATGCTCGCCCAAAGCACAGGCATCTTATAAGAAAGCAGTTCTTTTCCTTCTAGAGGAAGGATTAGAGATCCTTCTGAGGTTACCTGTTACAACATAATGGCTGTTGTAAAAGTCTCAGTCATCAACTGCTTCTCTCCCCAGGTGACATAAGCCAGTGGATAAGGAGCACTTTACAACAGTGACATCACATCCTGGTCCTGCTGCCCACTGGGCTATTCAGTCTCAGCCAAACCATTTAACCTCTCTGGGCAGCAGGTTTTCTCACCTGTAAAAATAAAGGTCTTTGGTCTAAATGATCTCTCACTATCTAAGGTTCCTCTGATCATAATTATTCAGTGATATATTTATAAATGAGTATTCATCAGTCTATGAGGTCAGAGGCACAATTTCCCAACAATTTCCCAATTTGTGGAGTTCTAAGTGAATTACCAAGAGATGCTGAAGAAATACATGTGGGCTACCTTTCCCCAAAACAAGGGAGTCGGGCACCACGTGTGTGGGCACTGGTTTGCAGTGACAAGGTGCAGGGGCCCCGGAGTGGGACAGGGCCTGGCCCTGCCTTGATTTAGCCACATGGTTGTAAAAGAAAAAGTCTCTGCATTCTTGCTTCTATTTTATGAGAGTTGTAGGGAGAGAGAAATTTTGCACTAAGAATTCTAAGTTGTTTTTATATTACAAAAGCAACGAAAAACAAAAAATTGGCAAGTGAAAAAAAGATGCTAGAAAAAGACATCTACTATTTCATCCTCCTAATTCAATTAAGTTATTATTTTGGTTTTTCTCTTAGTCTTCTTTCTTTTCTCTGGTTTACCTACTAACTATAAATGTTTATTTTTTGTTTCTTTGGGCATTTTAAATTAATATCATCATGCAATTTTACAGATAATTTTATGGGCTTTTCAGTCACAGTGTACAATGATGAGTATTTCTTTTGTCATTCCATTTGTTTGCTGGTTTATATTTTTACCACAAATGACTTAATTTCTCTTATTTATTAATATAAAGCTATATTACCTATTTTGTGGAGTGTGTGTGTGTGTGAGTGTATGTTTTGAAGAGAACAGATTCTCAAGAATGAACTAACAGTTTCAAAGGATTTGATCATTTTTCTGGCTTTTGGTAAATGTTGTCAAATTACTTTCCAAAGGGCTGCACTCATTTACAATGCCATCAGCAATTACCTATTTTGCCGCAACTTCAGCAGAGTTTTTTATTATCATTTAAATTTTTTGGAGATGTAATAGGCAAAGCAGTACCTAATTACTTTAATTTCCATGTTATTGATTAACTGAGAAAGCCAATCATCTTTCCATATTTTTGTATTCCTCTCTTTTCAATATGCACGGTTATTTCTAAGACCCTTTCAGCCCCACTCTATAGCATTTTAAGTCTGAGAGCCTCCAAGAAAGCAGACAGATTGTACAAGATTGTAAGAACCATGGGGCTATTTGGAGATATAAATGACAGCAGTAAGAGGTTGTCAGATAGAGCCAGGAAGGAAAAACCAGTAACTAAAGATAGGCTGATTCCAAAAATGGGCATCTAAGATGAATACACTCTTCTCAGATGAAAAAGTAGAAACACCAAATACATACATGAAAAAATGTTCAACATCACTGATCATTCAAGAGATGCAAATGAAAACTATGCTGAGATTCCATCTCACTCCAAAAAGAACGGCTGCTATTGAGAAATCAACCAACAAATGTTACTGGAGCTGTGGGGAAAAAAAAAGCCTGCACCACTGTTGGTGGGAGTGCAGACTGGTGCAACCACTATGGAAATCAGTGTGGAGATACCTCAAAGAACTAGGACTAGAGGTCCCATTTGACCCATTCCTTTGCTGGGTATCTTCCCAAAAGAATTAAAAGCATCATACCACAATTATATATGAACACCCATGTTTATAGCTGCACTGTTTGTAATAGCTAAATCTTGAAAAGAATCCAAATGCCCAAAAGATGTGTGTGTGTGTGTGTGTGTGTGTGTGTGTGTGTGTGTGTGTGTGTTAATATAATGGAGTGCTGTTCAGGCATAAAGAAGGTTAAACTTAAGACATTTCTAGGTAAATGGATGCACCTTGAGAACATACTCTTAAGTGAAATAAAATGAACACACATGTAAATATCACATTGTCTCTCTGGTGTGAGAAACTAAAAGTTAAAATAAGGACAAAACCTAATAAATATTATGAAATAGGAAGAAATTGTTCAAAATTATACAGAACGTGAGATACTTTGTCAATACTTAAAATGTTTTATGCAAAAAAAGGCATATTATTATTAGGAAATGAGCTGAAAGATTAGCAAATGAAAATATATTCATGGTTATTCTCTAATGATTTTTGTTATGAAATTTTATTATTTCATAAAATGACCTTTATATTTTCTTTATTAATGTCTACTTGTAATACATTAAAATAAAAAGTTTTTAAAATTAAAGAATATCTAAGGAGTGATTCTGACCATCTTTAAAAGGGATACCAGCAACTTCATTTATGTGTAATGGAAATAATACTGTTGCTTTCTCTTCCATGATTCGAAAGAGAAAAGGAGAATTCATCCATGAGATAAAAGTAAGAACAGCCATGTTGGAATTATTTACCTGGGGAACCTATTTTAGGTTTGGTTACAGGAACAGAGACTGATACTTTCCTTAAGGACAATTAAGCTTTCTCTACATCTAGTTCATATGTTGAGGGTACTTGAATTAGTCTCCCTAGTAGCTGAGTCTCTTTAAGAATAAAATTATAATAAGTGAATCTATTTTACTAACTAGCTTTATCTAGAGGTCAGTAAAAATCTATAACCCTTTAAAAAAATTACAGGCTTGCCAGTTACTGCAAGGATACATCAGCTTTCCTTTAATATACTTACTTCAGTTTCTCCCACGTCTCTTCACCAAATTTCTCTATCACAAGAGACTGAAGGCAAGTGTTGATAAATCCATACTAAAATATAAAACAAAAGGGAAAATTTGTGTAACAAAACATGAAATTATTTGGGAAATATGCAATGTTGTCCTTGCGGAAACCAACTCCAGGGATGGTGAAACTTTTAGAGCTTTCAGTGGTAACAAACAGCTCCATCTGGCACGAGTGCCCTAGGTTTGCCACCACGGAACCTTTTCCTAGTTTCTCCTGGTTTTATTTGTTTAATACCTGGGCTTACTTCCACCTGATACAGGGAAAACGTCACAGCCCACCACTTGTGTTGCTTCCATAGAGAAAACATATGTACTAAATCTCCAAATTTCCATTCAGCTTATTATCATAGGGGGTTAAAGGAGGGGCTTATAGCTCATATTAACCCTCTCTGGGACAGGAGCTGGCTGGGGAAAAGAGTTTAAAGACAGTGGCAGAGCTGGTGTCTGCACATGGAGAAGAGGAAGGGCGCACACCTCAGGTTAGATCCAAAATGGAAAGAACAGTTTTTTTCTTTATCAAATGAACTTAGGCCTGGATGTGTGTACAGAGAGGTAAGAATGGAGGAAAACAGAGGGAAAGCCAAAGAAAGATGGACCAGGGGTGTAGTTTGCTGGTAGGGTGCTGGCCTAGCACATGTGAGGCCCTGGGCTCCATCAATTAGCACTGCAAATAACTAAATAAATGAGCCAGATTAACAGAATGAACTTTCTTCTAGGTACTCTTACCCATCTGTGCTTTCTTCTTTCCCCCATCAGAAAAGACAGGGCAAGTCCATGGCTGCCCCTGCTGAGTGGGGAGCAGCCCGCTCCACCCTGGCTATCCCACTATCCTCAACTCGGGGCTTCTAACCTAAGGGTCTGTGGGGCAACTGAATTGTTTGAAAGCACCAGGTCAGCTGAATTGTTAGAGGGTTTCTTATTACAGTGAGGAATCCTTTGGTCCCACAAGTATCAAACTCAAGATTCATTTTATACATTCCAATTTGCATAGATAGGAATTTCTCAAAGAAAGAGACCGCAGTGCCAACAGAATAGAGGAGACGCTCGTTTCACACAGCTCCTTTCTGAAAGGGACACTAAGGCCTCCCCGCTCCCTCACAGTGAGTGTTTCCTATTTGGCCACATCTCCAGTTCTCACCATCGTGTTATCTTCATACTCAACTCCACCTCTCTCTATCTCTATCTTCCCCATGGCTGGCGCCCCAGCCTGGCACTCTGGGCACACTCTGGAGCTGTCTTCTCGTGCTTCACTTTGGCACCCATTTCTGCAGCCTTGGACTCAGCCGAAATACCTGCCACCCTTCCTCAGACACGTGTGGTATTTCTGCAGTGGACAAGGCTCTTCTTTCCTGCCAAATCACAAGCTTCTTGGGGTGAAGAAGTCAGTGTCATCTATCTATATTTTGGTTAAGGTACCAAGACAGTGCCTGGCATGTGGTAGATATTCAATAATTACTTATTGGGTAAGTAAATTCTCAGTTGAAACCTTGAGTCTGAATTCAAGAAAAATATTAAATATTCCCAGGCATTTCAAATCAATCAAGATTAACAATTAACAAAAATTGCGATTGTTTCTCCTACTGATCCTGGTAAAAGAACACTGGCTCAGATGAAAGCATCACACTCACTGCCGTAAATCCAAGTGACTGATGCTGCCTTCCGCTGTGTAATGATGAAAACTGAGGCAGAGAGTAATCCTCAGGCTGCTGTCGGATCACAACCCCACCATAACCATGTAGAGCGTGTACCTGGTGGGATCTGTGGCCCAGCAATTGCCTTTGGTAGTCGCGACCCCAAAAGCAGTGGCATAGCTAAGCACCAGGCGTTTGAGCTTCTGGGTCGGAGAGAAGCCAGCTCTCCCTCTGCGGATTATCAGCATGCCTTCTCCTGCCCACTGAAATCAGAGTACTTTACTTCTAGCAAGAGCAAAAAGGAGAAACTGAGGCTGATCCCACATAACGTGTGCAAGGTGCAGTGGGGCCTTGTCTTTTGTTGCTCATGTCCTAGACCCAGGTGGCAGGGGGTGCTGAGTGGAACTTTCTCCTTCCTTCTACATTCTGTGGTCTGGTGGAAAAGGGCAAGTATCACTAGCCAGTACTGAAGTCCACCAACACTCTGGAACTCACATCGTACACCAACTAGGGCAACTGGCAGGCCAGGGTTCTCAGCGGCTGGTGGCCCCTGAATCTTCCAGGCCTAAAAAGTTAGACTTTAGGCCTACTTTTCTCATCTCTGAGAAACATCAGTGTTCAAAAGAAATATTAAAACCTCTGAAAATGTTAAGGGTTTGCAACATTCTTCTCCTGTAAATGTGACTTTCCACATGCCCAGCCTCACTGTGGCAGCCTACTGCCTGGGAGTAAGGCTCCACACCACAGCAGAGCCTCAGTGAGCCCAGACACATGGTGCAGCTTAGAGGGTTCTGGAGCCAAATGGACTTCTGTCTCTGTGCCTTATTGCTGTGTGTCCTTGGACAAACTGCCTAACCTCTCAGAGCCCAGTCTGTTCACAAGCTAAGTTGGAAATAATAATGTTACTCTGTTGGAAGACTATTATGAGGTTATAGAATAACAGTTCTCAAGTCAGACCAAGAGGGTCGATTGCTGACTCCAAATTTTACTCTCTGTTTGACTCTGGCCCTTTATGCAATCTTACTCACCTTCCATTATTTCTTCTGGAAAACAAAGACGAGAATGGTGCTTTCCTCTTAGTTATAATAGGTATAAAAGCACAAGGCACATAGCAAGTACCCTAGTGGTTATAGCCATGCTTCTTAGAGAACATGCAATTTAAACAGTAGGTATTCAACCAAAGAAAGCTTAATAAGGCCATCAGAACTGAGGGTGCTGACCGCTGCTTACCATGTTGCCCAACAGTTTATCTTTAGGTCCGAGAGATTGTGGCAGACCCCAGGCTCCTGATCTAGTGGTTCAGTTGAATCTGTGGCATCTCCAGAAACTGGTGTTATAGACTGAGGGCGGTCCAGAGGGAAATTAGGAACTAATCACGGGTTTCCGAGCAAGGTGTCCATTATGAACTCTTAGTCACCTGGGGAGTAAAACTTAAATTGCCCTTGCCCAAAAGCAAGTGGGGCTTGTTATCTGGCACCCAAAGGGATGCCAGACTCTCAGGGGTTCCACCTGAAGCCTGCAGCACTTCCCTGAGGTACCAACACAACAGCAGGGCCACCCTGCCAGCATGGAGCCAGTACCCAGTCAAACAGGAACTGCAGAGCACTGGGAGGGGCCCTGCTAGTTTGCTACCTGTGTGGAGGACAGACCTGAAAGAGGACATATCCTGGTCCTGCTGGGCGCTCAGGCTTATCCTCTGTTCCCATGGAACCCAGGTGCACATTCAGGAATTCACTTTGCCTCTCTTGTGCCCTGTTCCTCCACAGTGAAGTTGACTGAAATGGGAGCTAGGATTCCTGAAACCCGGCAGGCTTTGGCAAAGTCATTCACCTTTCCATTTGGTGGATCACTTCAGGTCACCTACCTGAGTGGTGTCACCATCATGAGCACCCAAGGAGAGCAGGGGCTGAAGGCATCATCTCTGCTCCCCAATGCTTGAGTCATAAGAGCATTCGGCAGAACCCTGAATTTGACTTCAGAAATGTAAGTAGACTCCTGCAGGAAGGCTGCCTTGTATGTGGGATTATTGGGGGGGGGCTCTAATTAAACAAACCATTCTTTCCAAGAATGACCTGCCTCAACCAGCTGTCAACCCTATGAAGACCCCTGGGGCCTAAAAGCCTTATCCTCTCACCCAGTCTTTGTTCTGTTTCAGGCTCCAATAGGCTGCTGCCAGAGGCCTATTTCCTGTGCATTGCTTGAGGTCAGGAGCCAGAAACTCAGCGGATCACCCAGCCCCATGAATGAGGTCAGTTCCAACAGTTCACCAGCTTTGGTGTAAAAACAAGACTAAAAACAAATACAATAAAACCAAAGGAAAGGGATAGTAGGGCCCAGGCTACAGTGCAGAAGCTGGAGACAGCTGCATGGTTGTAACTCATGATAAGATGGCAGCTCCTGGACCTGACAAGGGCTCCACTGAGGTCAACATCCAGACCTTGGACGTGCCCAGAAAGCAGGTCAACATCTGATCTCAGCAACTCCAGCTCATTAAAAGGTTTCTCTTGGCCCTCCCCCGTCAGAGCCCTGTTCCGTGCAGCCTGCCCTTCTTCTGCATCTCCCTGGTGCTCATCCATTGAGTTTTTTCTGCTTCCTTGTTGGTTACACTCCTGTCTTAACTCCCAACTCTGCTTGTTGGAAGGATCTAATACTCAAGGGAAGCAGTGCATGGTTAAACCCCACTTTGTTCCAAAGTGGGGACTTTTCTTATTCACAAAAGCTGGACTCTGTATGCTGTGTGGAAGGGACATGTGGTCAGGAGGAGAAAAAAATCTTCGGAATAGATGATTTCCATAATTACACTTCTCAGCCTTCACCACCATTCAGCTGACAATTCTCCTTTCTGCCCTGCCAAGTGGGCTTGCTCTAACTCTCTCTCTTACAGCCCCAGCCCCCACCTTGCTTTTTCAAACACTTACAGCCGTATGCTTACATCTCACAATGAGTAAATGGTTAAAAAAAAAATCTCCCTTTTTCTTTTTCATGCAGCAGATGGCAGGTCCCAGGAACTTGGTGGAAATTAGGCTTTCTGATTTTCTAATAAATTTCAGCATCTCACACAAAAAGCACAGCTCATTTTGATTCTGATGTTAAGTACCATATGGCACATCATCACGGAACGTGGCAGCTTGTACTCAGGGTAACAAGGAAGGGAGGGTCTTCCCTATAACAACGAGGTCTAGCGAGTACGGACCAATTGGATCCCGGGGTGAATACATTTGATAATAATATTGTATATGGCAGTGGAGTAATTATCCCTCTTTTATGGTATGTGTTAATTTTCACTGCCAGTTTCCCTAATTACAACTGCTACCCAAAGGACTACTTTTTGTAAATATTCTGTAAACATTTGAAAAGACATAGACAAGGAGAAAAACGTCCCTGGATTTTGAAACTGTCTGGAAAATTGGCTGACGTTTTATATGTTTTTCAATTGCATTAACAGCCAGGGAGGAACGTTCACTCTATGGAAATATTCTCTCTTCTGTGACATCAGGGGCTCTCCTGCCCATACTGTGATCCTTGTTTTAAAGGACATTTTTCACTACCCCTTTCCCCAAAAATAAGGCCTAGCTGGAAAATAATCTGCCTTGAAAACTAGAGATCAAAAACACCAGACCCAAGCTCCCTTTCCTGCCTTACAGAACAGCCACTGAGCAAGAGAATAGTCGTGGCAGATAAGACAAGTCGAGGCTGATTTTCAAGGAAACATGGTGTTTGTTTATCCTAAGTGAACAGTTCCATGAGCTTTGACAAATGTACATATCCTTGTAACTCACACCCCGATGAAGCTGTAGAACACTTCCACAGTCACTGCAGATTCCTTGGAGCCCCTTCTCAGCCAGCACTATCATGCCCAACTACCACTCCCCTGATTACGCTATGGATTAGCTCTGCTCTTGAACTCCGCACACACTGACTCATACAATGTGCTCTCCGCTGTGCCTGCCTTCTTAACCTTAATTCATGTTTGGTGTGTGGATGTCAGGCCTTAGTCCCCAAATTAGACATATGTTATACAAACACAGCCTCACTGATTTGTCTTCTGTGACGTCTAAAGAGATCCAGCAGGGTGGTCTAGGTGTTATGTGCCTGCCTTTTCTTCTTCTTTTTCATAGAACACAACCTTCTTCTTTTTCACAGAACAAGGATGGAAGAGCAAGATATACCATACGGAGGACATTAGAGTAAGTCCCTATTGTTCAAGGAAAGAAATGAGAAGGAAGGCTCACGGTGAAGAATCTGGGAAGAAAATACCCCATTATCTGGGTTTTGAGGACATTTTGCATTTCTAGGCCTTTGCTGCCTTCTTGCAGGTGGGGTGCCCTCTCACAGTGGACGTGTGGCCCCCTTCTAATGCCATCTATCTCCAACTTCTGGGCATGCTGGCTTCCTGCCAAGCCTGCAGCATCAGAGGCTGGTGTCCCAGGTCACTGGCTGTGGCTGCACTGCTGGGCTCCCACACCCCCATGTGAGCAAAGTACCCTCACACAAGCCTACCAGAAACGTAAAATTCACATTCCTTTTGGCTATGGCTTTAAAAACATCTACCAAAAACTAT